AGAAGTTTGAAACTTTGACTCCTGTGAATTTGAGTGGGAATGCTTCTGTAGGAATGGGTGCATCTGACAGACACTTCGTTGGAGCGACTCATGAGGAATGAAGCGCTGTTGATGCCTTCAGCTCTCGCATGTGTTCTTTAAAACTCATCCTGTACCATTTCTGCAACAAATCTTCCATAATTCGTCCTCCTGAGGGTGGACGCCCTCACCGGGGAGAGTTTACCTAGCATCCAAAGCTGTTGAGGTTTGTGCACGATATAAAGCAAACTCCCATTGGAAAACCTATGCTTAAAGGTGTGGAACCACCAGAGAAATCCCTGCTTCCATCTAAAAGGCTAGGTTATCCAGAGTTATCTCTGTAGTTATGCTGCTATAGGCTTAGACTGCTGGAAGACACACTGACCACTTTCCACACTCGACTACTTTCTTCTACAATCTGCTCTTTAACTGTATTATTTCCTGCTATTTCAGCTGTTAACTTTATTTTTTCTCTATTTGTCTCCCCAGAAGAAGCTACAATGATGTTCTGCTGAGCTGTGATGCCCTCATGGAGGGGGCCATCGTCTTGAACACTTTTGCTAACCATTTAATCATTCTCCCTCTCCTGATAATAACACTTTACTTTCCTTGACATTGGATGTGCTACTACTAGTTTACCCGTTTAATTATAGATCCACTAGAATAAATACAATAAAGTTTATCTCTCGCCAAATAGAATATTTACTAAGAAATCACAATGTAACCATAGACACATTACTTGGTGTGTGTGTGTGTGTGTGTGTGTGTGTGTGTGTGTGTGTGTGTGTGTGTGTGTGTGTGTGTGTGTGTGTGTGTGTGTGTGTGTGTGCGTGTGTGTGTGTGTGTGTGTGTGTGTGCCTGCTCTGTCTTCTCGATCCCCAGTGAGTCGTGGAGGATGGCTGCTTATACTGAGCCAGGATTCTCTGGAGGTTTCTTCCTGTTAAAAGGGAGTTTTCCTCTCCACTGTCACTAAATGCTTGCTTAGTATGAGGATTGCTGTAAAGTCACTGACACTAGTCAGTGACTCGATGGAATTTGCTGGGTTCCTTATATATGAAACTTTTTTTCTGACTGGCTTAATGAATTGACCTGTATTGGAATATTTATTATGTGAAGTGCCTTGAGACGACTCTTGTTGTGATTTAGTGCTATGTAAATAAACTTGAATTGAATTGAATTGAATTGAAATGAATTGAAAACCCATTATTTTAATTGTTATTTCTTATTATAATTGGTCACTGAGTTTTTAATGCAGGCTGAAGATGAAAATAGTCTTCTACACCTATTTCCTTCATTGACTTCTGGTAAAAAAAAAATAGATGGTGAAACTCAAGGATTAAAAAAGCCTGACAGATCTACATCCCACTGTTACTGAACGTTCATGGACTCACCCATCTTGGCTCACGACGGGAAGACTGTTGCTGGTTTAGCATCCAGGAAAGAGCAGAGAACATCTCGGCCAGCATTTTAACTCCACCACACAGCAGAACTCCTCTAGGGTTGTGTTATTTGTGGAGATAAAACATCAACATTGCAAAGCAAACAGTCAGTAGTAGAGTTGCGTTGCTGTTAGCCAATCAGAGGCGAGATATCCAAATATTGTCTTCTAATTGACTGAACACACCTGGTCCAGGTAATCAACAGCAGGAACAACAAAGATATTTGGAAAACAAGCAGGACTGCGCCTCTCGGGGACCAGGGTTGCCTTCCCCTGATCTAAAGGGTTTTAATAATGCCTTGACTGCTTCACAGTAATGAATGAATCAACACAATTATTTATTCTGGAAATAATTCTTTATTTCAGATCTGAACCCTTTGATGCATAATGGTCACTACAGTGGACAGGTACTCAAAATTGTTATTTATTTATTTTTGCTACTAAGCACAGCTGTTGAAGACTTTATTGCATGTGAGCCGCTCCATTTGGACTTCAGTAAGTCAAGCCAACATATTTCATGTTCAGAATGCACGCTGCACACTGAGATGGACATGTAATAAACTGTGTGTAAATTAAATGTTACAAAAAATATGTAAATATGACATTTGTTTCATTCACAGCTGAAGATGAATGAAAAAAGTTGTTTAAAAAATCATGGTTGAATATTTCATAATTCATGCATTAAAGGGTTACATATCACCAATGAGTCTACTTGTTGAATTTAATCATGATTAAACATTACCCCGCAAATGTATTGATTAACTAAGTGTTAAACACCTTTAAGGGTTTCCAACAGAAACCATTGCGTTGTTGCTAGTTTTAACTAAAAAATTCAGCTAACTTCCACGTTTTTAAAATTAGTTTTCCCCAGGACTAGTTGTGCAGCAGTGATACAATTTCATTACACCCAAACGGAGCAAATTGCTCACAGATGGATGATGCTTTGCCAGTTGATACCACCAGTGTGCTGCTTGCCTTTTTACACAGAGAAACTATTCTTTCCCGTGTCACAGCCCTTACATTTACTTCTCCCAGCTAACGTTGATTCACAAATCAATAGAAAGCTGTTACCTTTTGTAAGGAAGCATTAAGCCTTTACAGACTGTTATGTAGCCGCTCCACGATCCTTTATGAAGCTTTGCATTTCAGTGCACCATGAGGTAAATATGTAACTTGAGACTGAAAGGAGGCAAATGTTGATCTTGAGCCGTTATTCTAAAGAGTTAAATAATAGTTTCATTAGCTACAGCATTTTAGCACTCCATTATCTCATTCAAGACAGTAATGAAGGTCAAGCAGAAATGTCTCCGGCTCCCTGTTTGAGCCTTTGACTCACAGCTTAGCCACAGCGTTGGGAACTGGCTCACATTAAAGACTTAGCCAACAATGCTGCTGGCCTAGATAGGCACACCAAACACAATGGTGGCGGTGCTGATTTAGAGCAGATCAAACCTATGTTGGCCATTCCAAAGTTAAAAGTCTGCTTGTTGAGCAAACTAAGTGTTTAAACACACATGAGTTGCCATGGCAATGGTGGGTTTTCAGTTGTCTCTTTTTGTGGGCAATCAGTTTTTTTTTTCAATCAAACTTTCATTACAGATAAAAATGTTCTCTTTCCTCTAAAGGTCAGCTGTTCCCTATTCACCTGTAAATTTAGATTAGATTAAAATTTCATTTTTATAAATGACAATTAGGATTTGTGCTGCCACGTGTGTCTCTACTGCATCCATAAACCCTCGGTTCGTCTGATATCTGTCATTGTTTAGTTTTTTCAGCATTATGTGCCTAAAACAAGCTGTTTTAAAAAGTCTCTGTGTGTGATGTCACAAACCGGCGAATTAGCATAGAACCACCTCTCAGTTCTCCAGGCTGGAAGAGCAGTGGCTCTACTACAAGCCCCTCTGAGATATCGGAGCTTCTCAGCTTATAGCAGCCTTGGTGGGCGTGGCCTGCTCAAACTTGTCAGGAATAAGCCTGCTGAAATTGCTTTATTTGAGAGGGATTTAACACAAAGAACTTCATGAAAAGGGTCTGTATACATCATAAGGATAGCAGTAGCTCAGGAGTTTGAAGTGGAGTTCGCCGCGGCTCTTTCCACTTGGACACGTCTTTAAAATTGCAATAAAAAGAACCACTAAAAGCCTTTCTCCTAAAGAAAGATGTTTGCGCCATTGCCAGACGCCATTTTGACTACATCTAAAAGACTAAAGTGCAATACAGTCGGCATTTCCTCATTTTTTCTTATTGGTTATTTTTGAGCTGGTTAGTCCTGCCTCTCATGACCTTTGGGTAACCAGATGTGCTCTGCTCAGTGCTGATTGGCTCGGTTGGAATTCTCAGGGGGTGGGGTTATTTGCATGGTAGAGTTACCAGACTCGTTCTCTGTGCAGAAGTAAACAGAGGAAGAGTTCAGCAGGCCAGGCTACCGCAATGCAACTTTCTATCAACTTTTTGTTTCATTCAATCTTGAACTGGTTTATTTTTTTACTACACCTCAAGAGCCATTTCAACCCTGAATGTCAAATCCTCACTCTTGGTGTCCCGCTTACATGCTTTTTGAACATAAGCTCTTTCAAGTGAAATTAATCAATCTCTTCGTCACTTGGGCGGAGTCATTACCCAACCACAGAGAGAGAAATGAAAGTGCTAATCGCACAGCAAGTGGGGCCGTTGTCTGGGAAGGCCAAGTTTTCCTGCTCAAGCTGCTTTGCAAATGCATTCTCAGTTCAATTTGTGACGCGAGGAGAGGCTGAATCGTGAACTTACCTCAGAATTCTCTTTCCAAAAAGAGACACGTATGACATCAGCTTTCTGCACAATTCTCCAAAGGAGATTTATATTCAAATATTATAAATGCTTGCTTACAATTTGTGAAACAAAATCAAATAAAAAGTCTCTACGATACATTTACGCTGTGCATTAAAACATTTTCCTGGGGTCACGAACCCTCTCAGCACACCAGCAGATGATTATTTAGTGTGCACGATGCCTCTTTAGCTGCACCTCTGCAGCAAACACATTGTTATAGTTAACAGTCCTTGCCCCGCTTGTCACTTCAGGAGTGTGGATGAATAGTCAGTCAGAAAAGAGGGTATTATTATGCTAACCATCGAGGCGTACCAACCTGCAGGCTTGATGATGTCAAGCAGACTGAGATTTATGTTTCCCGTGTTTGTCAAACAGAGGAAGGTTGCCCTCCTCACAGAAACTTAAAATAAATGTTTTCTGGATCCTAACGTGGGTGTGTGTGTGTGTTTGCGTTTAGCACGCCCTGCTTAATGGCCGTTGAAAGTTCAAACTGAGATATTTGTTTTGATAAATACTTATTTTTAACGGCTGGAAGTTTAAATGGACTGTACAGAAAACTAGTTGTGAGTGATGAAGAGCTACCGTACGTGTAATTGCACATCTGAACTGGAGGACTAAGAATTGACTGCAGTCACTGATTTTCCTCTACACAAGGGGGTAACTGGCCCGGGATGATGAGTGTTAAAATAGTCAAAGAGGGCAATTACCAACAGTTTTGACTGATTATATTTTTTACCTGCTTTCCATGAGAAATGATGGTTGTTCGGAAGCGAGATGTCAGAATGGACTGGAGCAGAAAATGAAGACAAGGCGAGGAAGAAGATGAGGAAGTTCCCAGCTCGCCGTGTCCAGGCAATGACCCCAAAGTCATCCTTCAGAGTCATAGTCCAGCCCATTGCTTCCTCTCTTACTCCTGTCAGGAGAAAAATGAAATTCATCAGCATCTCAATGAGAAATGTAACCAGAAATACGGCCGGGGAGGACAGGAGGAAAGGGGATCATGTGGGGGGAAGAAAAGATTCCCATTCTGGCAATCTGCTGTACAAAAAAATAAAAATGTGGCTCTGAACACGTCAGCTCAGAAACCTAATATTCAACATCATCTTCCAAGGCGCATATTTTCCCCCATGAACTGCTGTGCTGATTTTTCTATTTCTTTCTATGAATCCAGCATAGACGTGTGGGACAATGCATTCTTCTACTACGTGTACCAGACAGTGATAGAAGCAGCGAATGAATGAGTGAATAAATAAACGAATCTAGTCCATCAAGATGAACAAGCTCTTTGAAAAGTGTTTGAGCAACAGATTTCAAACATATTAGCTATTTCTTTATATTTCTTACATCCGATCCTTTCTACTGCTACTTTGATTCACCGGAGTGTTCGGGATTAGTCCTGGATCCCCAATCCGGCTTTACCAAAGGCAAAAGTTAATGAACAAGTTGCTGAATCCTTAACACCTGATGCTTAGACAGGCTGATACCTCGGAGTTGAAAACTGCAGTGGCTCATTTTTCAAAAACACAATTTTCTGAACTTGTTTACGGAGGAATTTGCTGTTACTGACATGCCATTGAACAGGACTCTTTCAGCTGTTATTTGTCTTTTTGAAATCTCAAAATCCTGTATAAAAATTCATGCTACAACTTTTTTTTGTGCTAATGAGTGAATAAATCCTCATTCATTTTCTGTAAATGCTGCCTTAAAGTGATGCCCATAGAAAGCCTCCGTCTCCTCCCTTTCCGGCCGACTCGTGGGTCCCCGGAAAAAAAGAAAAAATGAAAGCAAGTCAATAGGGCTATAAAAGCTCATTTCAAATCCCGACTGATAAGTGCCCTGTGTTTAGCAAAAGTTAAATCCTTCTTCAGGACCAAAGAAGGAGCATTAAACATGGGGAAAACCACTGTGGTAAGTAGCAGCAAGGCTGAGGGACAAGAGATTCTGCAGCGATATCATATAAGCAACATCTGATTGTAGTCGTTTTAACTACGAAGTTTTACAAGCAAATGGTAAATTATGTGACAATCAAAACACACATCGTTGCTTTTAATTAAAACTAGTTTGTGTGCACATGCACGGATTAGACGGAGGAGCGTGGCATTGTAAAAGCTGTGATGGTTGTCCAAGTCCCTTTTCATCAGGGCTGTGCTAACAGAGCTGGAGCATAACGGCGGTGGCGCGTACATTTAGGAAGCCCCACTTTAACTGTCATTAGCTTGGTAGCTAAGCTTTGCATCAATTTGTACCTTTGTCTCCCAGCAGCTGTTGTGACTTTCACTGTCGCTTGCTTTCCTCTAATAATGTACAAACGTAAATAAATATTTCACATCTTAAATTAACAATATTTGCATTCAATTATATACATTCTAATCTATATAATTAAAAACACACACACACACACAGTGGGCTGTACTCACTGAGGCTCTGTGTTTCTTCTGCACAACAGGGACATTTTCGGATGCAGACGAACCAGAACCAAACCGGAACCGCTCAGAATGCCGGTGCAGCGCAGCAAATGTTTTATAATCGGTAATCCAAGGAAGTTGTACATTGCATACGGCCACTTCTGCCTTTTATTTTGTTGTTTTGTACTTCAAACATTGGCGCTAAACTAAAGGCTTGTTAGTTAAAATGTAACAATTGAGTTGCCAGTGTTACGTCGATATGTGTTCCCCCCTCGAGGTCTGTTTCTTTTGCACCCAGCTGTGAGTGAGAACCATCCACTTGCAAAAAATGTGTGTCCTAACCCTTATCCCAACCCTTAACCTAAACATAACCCTGAAAAAAACATAAAAATTGTGCTACACATAATATTTTCAAAATTTATATTTATGCAAAACATACATTTTTGGTGACAGGGTGATTGTGGTTAGGGTGAGGGTTATTTTTTGTGATTGGGTCATTTCCACTCGCAGCTGGGTGCAAAAGAAACAGATCTTGAGGGGGGAACACAAATCGACGTAACACCGGATCCTGGCAGACAGTTACCAGAATGTGTCCTTCCACAATAAGAGGCTCAAATGAAGCTGTGGCGCCAACAACACTTATCCTTGTTTGAATGCGGTGAAACCACCGGCAGCACCTCTGCACTGTGAACCTGTTCCTGGCTTCACAGACCATCACGTGAGCAAAGTTACTTACGAAGATAACAGCCCAGACGAAGACATCCGAGATCTGCAGCGTCAGGGCTGCAAAGCAGTGAAGTGGACAGAACATCACCATGGTAACGTCTACGGCTTCGAAGATGACCACGTTTCTTTTCATTATATAGATTGAAGCTACCTGTGTGAGATTCATGGCGTAAGGTAAAGCTTTTGTAGCCCCATTGACTTGCATTCATTTTTTCTTATTTCCTTGGACCCATTGTCCAAAAGTAGGTAGACGTGACTTAGGCTCCCCATCAAGGTATACCACCCTGGCTTTTGAGCCTTCTTGCTGCAAGGCCACAAATTTCCACTTTTGGAGCTTTTGAGTAATTTTTTCAGACTTTTGTGGTTATGCACGTGTGTCCGGTAGAGTATTTAGGCGGAACTTGCGCTAACTTTATTTGTAACTCTGCAGCGCTGCCAAACAACACATTTGTAAATCTGAAAGAGTTACTGGTGAAAAAAAATGGAAGCAAAAGAAAATCTCTGTTTCTAAACTCCGACCGTGCGAAATGTGGCGGAAGTCCCCCTTCAGGCCGTAATTCACGGCACTGTGTGGCCTCAGAGGGCAGTAAATAACGTGCTTCTTCACAAGTCCCACACATACCCGTTCCCCCATCCCCCCGAATGGATTAAATTACAGCTTATATTGACCAAATAAAACTAATGTTATTAATGTCTCAGATGTCTTTTGGTGCTGATCAGTGATGTCACTAATTACGGAATGTTGCCATCTTGGCTAAGTCCTGAAAAGGCTAATTTTCTACAGAGACCTAGCTAGCATAATTTCTTGTCACTTTTCCTCCTAGAAATTCCACACAACTGCAATAGTGAAACACATTTATTACTGCTAACTGCACTACCGTCTAATGATAGCATCTAATGGTGGATTAACCGAAAAGCTTTTGAAATGTTTGTGGCAAGTGCTTGATCTCATTTGGCAAGTCAGAGTTTAAATTTGATGGGTTTCTTTTGCTGTTTTGATTTTTTAATGAAAATAAAAATAAAAAGACTGCAGTGGATTGGTGCCAAGCATCAGGCTGCCAGATGCACGATTATTACTGAAGAGTCCATTTTGCCTCTGGCGTTGGTGCGTCATCCCCTAGTCATTTGTTGTTTAACATTAAGTCAAAGCAAACACAAAATCATTAGTCTGTTTGTTCCTCAGACCCCAGTCTGCCTGATGAAACCTGCCCGCCATAACCTTATGCTCCCTTTGTTGAGCTCCGCTTCAAATATTTCATCCATTTTTAATGAAATGAAAATTATGTCCTTTTTTTTATTCTGAGCGAACATTGTCTCACAATTCTATGGCAAGAAAATGTCCTCTCCTTGGATGAGTACACAAACTACTCTGTCACTTGTACAGCCATTTGCCAATTAGACACCTCTGGCTGCTGATCACTGGCCTCTCTCTCAGGCGGTGCTGTTTGGAAGGCATACCTGACTGCACCTAGATTACATCCTCCCTCCAGCCACTCTAATTTGACTATTCATGGGACAAGCACTGCTCTCTCTTATAGGCTGACAGAGCACATCACAGCTAATTGGAAAACATGATCTTCAACAGAAACATGAGCTGAAAACACGCACAGCCTCAGGCAATCTTGGCACTTTTCAAAGTACACAAAGACATACATGTGAGATAACCCTAGAGTCAGATGTACTTGCAATATTTAGCAGTAAAATTGTTCTTGAGTACCTCGGGCTCAGGCTCATTCAATTAGTGCATCGTACAAGGAGATTAAACACAGGCTATGTAGGAAATGTAATATAAAAAAGATATTTAGCATCACTTAAGATGCTAAATATCTGGGTCAAAGGAATTATGCCGAGCTCTTAGAGGCTACAGAAAACCTGGTAAAGGATCTGATGGAATGTGATTTGTCTCTTGATGTCTCCAAGGTCCTGATTAAAGATACATTTTGACCATAAGAATCCTGACATTATCATAAAGGAACAGATGAACAAATCTCCACGAACGTCTCATTCACAGGTGGTCATAACATTTACGGTTTGATTGGATGTGTCCAAAATAAAGGGGAATGCTAATTTGATGTGCCAAGACTAAACAATCCTTATGTGTGTGAGGAATATGTGATCCTCCTGCCTGTCTTTAAACGAGCCAAACACATTTGGGTTCAGTCTGTATACCAGAGAAGCCACATTCTTACGTGGATTTCTGCTAATTTGTGTTGCCAACCATCTAATTCTCTCCGTACGTTCTCCACTGATATCCGTGCTCATGTCTGCAGTCTTGGTTTTGTATGCCGTGTGCAATGCGTTGCAGTTAACACAGCCGTGAATATTTTTTCCACATTGTTGTGCATGTAATTGTTTTTGATTGCTGGCAATGAAAAATAACAGCGAACCATCCTCTTCCATTCTTCCCTCTCTGTTTTTGTTTGTTTTTTGTTTGTTTTTTTTCATTTACAGGCAGAAACGGCCATGAAAGCGCCGAACGAATCTGAATGCAAAAGACAAAGCTGCCTTTTCAGACTGCCACGGTCATTTTGTTTGGTTACAGTTTAGTTCACGTTTTTATGACGTTTGTGTTTCATGGAGTCGCTGTTGGGTTTTGTCAGGTTTGTGCTGAATTTAAGGCTCTTTGCTCTTGTTGTTAAGCGCAGCCTCTCTCTCCGTCAGTGTGTTTTGCTGTCAAGTTCTCTCACATCAGTTACTAACATCTAAATTACAAACACAAAATAGTTTGTCTCCTCTTTTATACGGCACTGTATGGTTGGTAGCTTTGTTGCCTCTCACTGAAAACGTTGTTGGTTCAAATCCCACCTGTGTGGCCTTTCTTTGTGGAATTGGCATGTTTTCCCCATGTGGGTTTTCTCCTGGAAATCTTTCCACAGATCACAAAAACATGCATGATAGGTTATTTGGACATGCTACTTTGTCCTTAGGAGTGAGTTTGTAACTGGTCGTTTGTCTGTGGGATGGATGGATGGATGGATGGATGGATGGATGGATGGATGGATGGATGGATATGGTGGGCAGACAGATAGATACATGGACAGGTACATGGATGGATGAATGAATTAATGGATGGATGGGTTGGTGGGTGGGTGAATGGATGAATGACGGATGGACAGAAGGATGGATGGATGGATGGATGGATGGATGGATGGATGGATGGATGGATGGATGGATGGGTTGGTGGGTGGGTGGGTGGGTGGGTGAATGGATGAATGACGGATGGACAGAAGGATGGATGGATGGATGGATGGATGGATGGATGGATGGATGGATGGATGGATGGATGGACAGACAGATATATACATGGACAGGCACATGAATGGATGGATGGATGGATGGGTTGGTGGGTGGGTGGTGAATGGATGATGAATGGATGGATGGATATGATGGGCAGACAGACAGATAGATGGACAGGCACATGAATGGATAGGTGGATGAATGGATGGATGGATGGATGGATGAGTTGATGGGTGAGTAAGTTAATGGATGAATGAGGTATGGACAGAAGGATGGATGGATGGATGGATGGATGGGTTGGTGGGTGGGTGGGTAGGTGAATGAATGGATGAATGATGGATGGATGGATATGGTGGGCAGACAGATAGATAGATGTACAGGCACATACATGGATGTATGGGTTGGCGGGTGGGTGAATGAATGGATGAATGATGGATGGATGGATGGATGGATGGATGGATGGATACGGTGAGCAGACAGATAGATAAATTGAAAATTTCGGACACAACAAAAGAAATAATGACATGTTTACCTGCAAGTGACGACTGCCAGTCATCCCTTTAGGTGTGATGGTTGGCCAAAGGTTCTGAGTCGTGTCTCTTTGGAAGACCTTAGCAGAGAAGTGGAGGCGTCCAAAGTGGTTATGTCTGACAGGGAAGGTAAATCACCTGTGCCAAGCCCTCTGCCTGCAGCATCCTGTAGAAGCTTAATCCTGTGAATCAATGCGTGATGGGCAGGGACTGTCACACCTCCAGCAGTATGAGCACCTTCCAGGTGCTAACTGTGTCGAGCACCCACACACCGAAGTACGATCTGCAGCTCCAAAAGGCTCTGAGGAAGACAGAAAATAGAGATAAAGAGAAAAGATCTAAACATCCGACTGGAGAGCGGTACAATCTGACAGTTCATGCAACAACTTTGTTGATATAAGATGGTTTCATGATAACGCCACAGCTGCAGAAAGATGGATGAAAGATGGATGCAGGGAGGCTCTGCAACATGACCCTGAATTCTCTGTCCTTTATTTTTCACAATATCAGCAAAAGCTGTCTGAAACGGTATGACTAAGATGTGATTTACAGTTCACTCATGTCGTCTCTGATTCATTCAGCTCTTCATTTCACTACCCAGCTAAAGAGGAAAGTGCTTCCGCATAAAAACACAGTTCTTCCAAACATAATCGCCTCTGCGAAAAAATCTCAAGGGTATTTTCACTTTTGCATCATACTAGTAAAGAACTGAGTGTGTTTTCATTGTTCTTATTCTCTAGCACGCCTTTAGGTTTTCAGAGCTAAAATGATGCTCTGAGTTTTTGCTCCTTTCTGACACTCATTGGCTTTCTGTCACATCTCCAGCCGAGGCTGTTCAGAGAGCTCATCTACAAGAACGAGATTCTATTAACACCTTCTGCCTTTGTGTCTCATCCATCCTCAGCCATTTTCTCTGCAGCCCCAGACTTCCATTCTTCTTCTCCCTCTGACCTGAGTGTCCGTGGCCCTGAGATCCACTGATCCCACCGACCCACAGCTTATTACCTAAAGTTCGTAGTTTCGGCTTGTGCATTTATACGTCGTTGCTCTTTTTCCTGCTTTTTCCTCCTTTGCAGCCTGAACACTGAGTTTACAACCCCAGACAAGTTCATTATAAGCTATCTTAGTTCTTCTGGTGAATAATGAGACAAAGGTCTGTAGCTTAATGGAAATGAAGGCACTGAGGAAATTTCCTCCAGGCTGATGTGGGGGAAATCAACTCTGAGGAATTGTTTTCTAACAGCTTCTGCTGCAGAAGGAGGTCAAGGGTCTGAGTACGTACCGTCATCATGCGCAACTAATGAAGAACGTGATTATTATGGAAAATGTACCTTAGAA